ATAAGAACGGGCAAACCGCCCGGAGCCGCCATCAAAATGTATGTACACAGATGAAGAGGGGGAAGCGACAAGAAAACAGCAAACCCGCGTCCATCGACCTCAACTCTCTCTCCTCTCTATCTTTCTCTCCGATGCGGACAGTCCATCGTCACGCACCAACCCACGAAGTTGTCACCCCCATTAGTCCTCCCGCATCGTCGGATTCGCCCGTGCCCACAGTCCGTCGTGGCCCACGTCAATCCCACGCGTTCGGCACCAGCTTGTCGGGTCGCCCAACTCCTGCTCTACTCACCTCTTAATTCGCTCGTGTGCCGACCCTTCCTGATCGCGCAACCCCGAGCTTCCAACAACGGGTTAAGAGAGTTGACTAATCGCACAGCCGAAATTTATAGCGTGCATGCATGCGTGAAGAACACGGAGTTACCAAAACTTAGAGTGAAGATTAGAGAGGGAACGCCTGCGTTCTGCATGATCGGTTGCGGCGTGGGGGACGTAACCCTTCTCCACGCATCGACCCGAGCATGCAAGCCGCGACTTACAAAATTTCAGCAAAAGAAAGAGAGGGAGGGCGGAAGAGACGAAGTGCAAGGAGAGAGATACAGTTACGATGGCGCCCGCCCAAAATTACAGTTACACATTCGATTAAGGGCGCTCACTAATCAGAGTACCGTTGCAGCCGCATGAAGAAGCGCGTAGACAAAAGGCGCCATGCGGCAGAAAAAGTCATAATTACTGAATTCCTAAATTCCTATCTAATGCGAAAAAGCAAAAAGCACAAATTCCAGAAGGAAAGTCCAAAATTCCGAGAGCCATCGGGGGGGGGGGCTCGACAAAATTCGAAAGAGACTCAAAGGAAAGGTTCAAAAGAACGAAGCAATTTCCCGCGCGATGTCCACGCCCAAAAGATCGAAACCGAAATGGAAGAACGACGTCAACATTTATTATTCGCGCGCGTGGTGGCGCACCAGACATCCATCCGACCAATCTCTCAACCGGCCGTCCCAGGACACACCCAGCTCCGACGACAAGAAGCGACGAAAAAAAAGAAAAAGCAAGGGTACTGATGCAATTTTCCACTGATCCCGAGTTCCCGTAATTGGCGCAATCTTCCCTGCTTAGGATCCCTCGTTGCAACTGTGCAGAAAATCGCACGTTACAGAAAGTGGTTCGTCACATATGTGACGCCCAGGGGGTTCCAATATTAGCAAGCTCCTGCTTGCTTGTTGACTCGTGTCGATTTCTCTAATTGATCGACACGAGGAGCAATTCTCTGTATGCCACTTACCGTTCGATTGCGTGTGGACGTCATCCAACGTGGCAATTCTGCTCTTCTACTAGTTCCTCAGATTGGGCTCTTCGACGATCCAAGGACGGGATCTTTCTCGTGTCGTCGCCGCGACACACGTCCATTACCGCTGCATCAGTAATTAACCGGAAGGGGGAAGGGAAGGCGATATGAGTATGAGGGAGGGCGGGGCGGCTCCATCGCAAGCTCGGGTATGAAGCGCCCGATCGCAGTGAGGTCATATGGAAGTTCTTGAAAACGGACATTGCGATGGAAGCGGGGGAACCTCTAGCCGCTGAGGGAAGGGAAGCGAGGTAGTCTGGGTAAAGGGATACGAGGGTTCGGAGGACGTCTGTGCGGAACCGATCATGGTTCTCGCACGAGGGGAAGGTCCCCGTAACGATGCAGTAAACCTCTATATGGTTACGGCCTCGCCACGCGGCGCTAAGGAGTAGAACGTGGAGGGAGTAGTCGGGGACAGCACACCGAACGGAAGGGTGGGGTTGGACAGTCAGTTCTAGGCGGGCGGAGTAGATATGTCGGAAGGTGGCGATGGGGGTAGACGACGCGATGGAAATACTGATTGAAACAGAGATAGCTAAGGGGATGGTGGTATATGGATCGGGGACGAAGGGCTAAGCCCCTCATTGACACGTTGAGGAATTGGGGGACGGGCGGAGGCAGAGGGGGACGTGGATCGGGATCGGGATGGGCGCCTTGTAGTCGCGGCTCCTGAGGTCGTGGCAGCAAGGTCTCCATGTTCCAGCTTGGGCGGCTCGGGATCCTTGAAAGGATCGTTCGGTGCGGGATTGATCGCCAGCCGCTTTCCTTCCGCGATCTCTTTCTTGCGCTGCGCAGCAGCCTCCGGGTTCTCCTCTCGCCGATCCGGTCATGGCACCCACTCGAGCTCGTCGTGCGTTGGCTCCTGGTCGTCCCCGCTTTCCACTTCTTCATCGTCTACGTCCTCCTCCTCACTTTGCTCGCCCTCGCTGTACTCGCTATAGGCCTCTTCCTCTTCCTCCGAAGTCTCCTCCTCTGCTTCGTCTTCTTCTTCTTCTTCAGCTTCCGCCGACTCTTCTTCTGCTTCGCGCTCTTCTTCCTCGTCCTCGACCAATCGGGCCGCTGCTCCCCCGACCTCTCTCCTCAATTCTCCTTCTGATTCCTCTTCGACCTCCTCTTCTGCTCTCAGCGCCGCCCACTCGAACGCTGTTGGTTGCCGAAAGAAGCGGGGATTAGTTTGGCTGTGGACGTCCACGTACTCGCTACGGGAGGGAAAACAGTCGTCCGCCCAGTGCTACTCGATACAAGCCGACCACTGGAGGCTCGGGGCGAGAGTCCTTGAGAGGGTATGCGACACGGGTTCTTCGTCGCTCTGAGAGACGATGTCGAGAGGGAGTTCGTCGGCCAATCGCGCGATCACGATCGTAAGTTCGCGCACGATCTGTGATCGGTTTCCCCGATCCACTGCTCCAAAGACGAATCCCAGAAGATCTCCTGCCACGTTGGTCCTCCACGCCTGAATGACGAGCAACTCCACAATCTCTGACGCGGGCCTTTGATCGCCTTCCCACGTCCAGTTCAAATCCACTCGTAGCAGGCAAAACGAGAGCTCGACAAATTCTGCACGCCACAACCTCCAAAGGTCCGGATCGACGATGGGTACTGTCAGTGGCTCCAGACGGAAGGAGAGACGAGGGTAGTGAGAGGACTGCCAGAAGACGGGGAAGAGAGAGGGAGGAGAGAACGTCGAGATTGGCGCGGCTCATCTGTGCGGCTGGAAGGGAGCAAGTTCTGGGAGGACGACAGGTGACTCGCGTAGCGTCGTGCGCAGCGTGTTGACTTCGATGCCGTCGACAGGATAGCACTCGTCACCGTGCCTTGTGAGCCGTCGATCCCAATCAGCGGCCAGATCGCGACCCCACCGGTACAAGGTGCTTTTGATCGCGGCTTGCCTCGCCGGATCAAATGCGGTGATTTTGCCGTTAAAGACTACCACGGTAGACACGTGGCTGATTCCGGGGGCCGCTCGCCGTTGGAACGCCCTTGCCTCGGCCAGCACCACTACCTGGGGATTGCTCGTGAATCGGAACTCTGCCGCGCCGTATACACCCGCAGTGTAGAAGAACTGCGCAAGGCGCATGAAGTCGGGGCTGATCCTCGAATGATGCACTTGGTGGATGGCTGAGATCTCTCCCCGTGGCATCAGCAACTGATCACTGAAAGCTCGCTCGATGGCGAAACTCGTGGTGATGGCGGGGGTGATGGGGTGGCAGAGAGGGAGCAAGAAAGGGAGGGAGATGGCAAAGAGTCCGAGCCGTCGTTTTCGGCTTCCTCTGGGAGAGAGATCGAGGGAGAAGGAGACGGAGCAGAGGGGAGGAGGCGAAGGTAGGACACGTGGCATGTGATCGGACAAGCCGACCGAGTGTCGGAGACTTCAGGGGCAAGACGCACGGTGTCCACGCCGTTGGGGCCGAGCTCGATCACGCGATATTGCCCGAAGAATCGTGGCGCTAGCTTACCCTGGCGAGCACATTTCCTCACTTGCACCACGTCCCCCAATTTGTACTAGGGCCGCGGACCGGCATTCCCATTTCGGGCCTCGTAGCTCCGGACTTGTCGGCCCTGGGCTAGTTCGGTCATTTTCTGTCCCTTTCAGGCTAGCCTGGGCAGCGACCATTCCATTAACTCTAAGTGCCGCTTGGCCTTGTCCCGAGCCGTGGCCCTGGTGGGTCGTCGGTTCAATGTAGACTCATCCGGGAGGCTTGGTATCGAAACGCAAGCGACACTATTGGTTCTTAATTGGAAGGGGCTCAGCCTCGTCGATTCATGGGGCGTTCCGCGATGGACCGCTAGGATGTGATCGACGATATCGGGTCAGGGTCTCGGATCCCGTGCCGCGATGTTTCGTCGCAACGTTGTCTTTATCACCCGGTTAGCGTTTTCGACCAGCCCATTGGATTGTGACATGTGGGGTGCAGTGTTCCGTATGGCGACGCCACGTAGGACCAGATTCCTTAACACTTCTCCCCTGAATTCAGCCCCGTTGTCGGTCAGGATTTCTTCCGTATCCTGATGCATCCCGAGGAAACGGTTGATATATCGTGCGATTTTCGTGGCTTGTCGCGTGCGACAAGGATACGCTTCGATCGATTTCGAGAAATGGTCGACAAATACCAATAGGATTGAATATTCGCAACTATTAGGGCCAGGGGGCACCACTATGTCGGTAGTGTCCATGCTTACTCTCTGAAATGGCCGTTCAACAACCGTGGGCACTATCGACCTTGGTGGCTGAATCGGCGCTTTATCAGCGGCGCAGACTTGACAGGTGGCGACGATGTACTTCACATCGTCGCGGATATTGGACCAGTACCACTCATTTTTTTCGATAGCGGACTCTGTGATTCGTACAGCAAAATGAGCCGCAATTTCCTCGTGGGCTATCTTAACCCAGCCATACCGCATGAACGGATGCGGCACCACCATCCAAATCCCACTGCCGTCCGTTTTCCGTTTTTCTAATCTACCCTCTATCCATCGATAATCCCGAGCCCTTTCGTTGACCCTCCTCCAATCTTCCTTGGTGAAATCCTGGAGGGGTTTACCTACTAGGGTGGTAATTAAGGCAATATCCGTCTATACTTCGGCCCTTCTAAACTTTCGGGTCTTTTCCAATCCTTCTAACGTGGCATCCAAAAAGCGAGCCTCGGTCGGAATTTTGTCGGTCCGGCACAAGGGGCACAACCATGGTTTACTATCGTTCCTGTATTGGATGCACAAGCCATGGGCCCGTGCAACACACTGTCGGCAATCTATCCAATCCGCATATCCTACCCCGTTAGGACGCATGAAGACCGAATAGACGCAGGAGATGGCTTCGCAAAAATAGCAAAATTTGTCAGGCAGGGAGAGGAGAGACAAGGAGGAAGGAGGAGAAAGAGGGGTAGTGGGGTTACCTCCATCACCCATCGCCACCGTTTTGTTTTTTGCCACGTGGGAGAACTGCCACTTGTCCGTACTTCGTCTCGTTGGTCAAGTCCGGCTCTTTCCACGGTGTAATTTCCTCSCCCTTTGGTACCTTGGCAGGTCGATGCAGACGTGTTAGCCCGTCCGCGTTGCCGTGTCGCTCTGTCTTTCGATGGACGATATCGAAGTCGTATTCTTGTAGTCGCACCGCCCAACGGCCAATCATGCCCGTGTAGTTGGTGAGTTTCTTCAGCGCCAGCAGAGGCTCGTGATCCGTTACGAGGCGAAACTTCTGTCCGTAGAGATACGGATGGAAGTGTTGGATTCCCCAGACTACCGCATAACACTCACCCTGAGGTGCGGAGTCGTTTCTTCGTTCGTCCGACACGGTTCGTGACGCGTACTCGATGACGTGTTCGCGACCATCGTTCCCCTTCTGCGCTAGAATAACGGAAATAGCTTCCGGTTGCCAGTCCGTGATGAGAATGAACTGCTTCGAGGGGTCCGGTCGAATCAAAATAGGGGCCGTTGCCAGAGCGTCCTTGAGGGTTGCAAAGGCCTGTTGGCACTCTGCGTCCCAGCTGAGAGGCTGGTCCTTTCGTAACAGGTTCGTTAGTGGTCGTGCAATCGCGGCAAAGCCCTTGATGAAGCGCCGGTAATACGACGCTAGTCCCAAGAAGGCTCGAACCTGCGTCAGTGACGTGGGAACCGAAGCTTCCTTTACCGCCGCAACTTTTTTCGAGTCTGGCCGCAATCCTCCACGTGTCACGACATAGCCTAAGAACAAAATTTCTGAGAGGAAAAATTCGCTCTTCTCAAGCGCAATCTTGAACCCAGGGTCTCTCAATGCACCCAATGTCCATTCGATGTGTTGCGCGTGCCCGTGATAGGTTTCCGAATAGACGAGGATGTCGTCTATGTACACGATCACGCAGAAGTTAATCATTCATTGCGTCAGTCGTGTCTTGCTGACGAAGTTTTGGAATGTCATGTTCATCGCTCGCTGAAACATGGCAGGCGCATTGCAAATCCCCACCGCACACCGAACTCACTGCCACGTGCCCTCAAACAACACAAAGGTCGTTTTCGACCGATCTTCTTCCCTTACCAGAATATGATGGAAGCCTTGCCGAATAAGAAACTTGCTGAAATAATTGGCGCATCCAATCGCATCCAACAGATCATCAATCCGGGGGAGGGGATACACATCTTTTATCGTGAGTTCATTCAGCTTGCAATAATCAATGCAAATGTGAATCGCTCCATTCTTCTTCGGTACTAACACTACGGGAAAGGACCAAGGTCCAGTAGCGGGTTCAATCCAGCCGCTGGCTTCGAACTCCCGAATTCGTTCGAGGGTCTTTTTGCGTTCAATCAAGGAATAGCGATAACGTTTGCAATGAATCGGGGAGTGATTTCCTGTCTGAATTTCATGTTGGATTGCTAACGACAACCCGATGCCAGTGTCTGACACACTAATTGCTCTTTGGTATTCCGTTAAAATATCTGCAATCACCCGATGAATTTCATCCGGCCCATATTGTGGAACGTGCAGTTCAAAAAATTGGTCTCAGATCCGAACGTCAATCTATTTCGTGTTCGCCTATTTTGTCAAGTCGGGTGGAGGCGCCGAGATGAATGAATGATCCGATCGCCAGGAGAACACCGTGGCCATCATCGAAGCATCTTCTTCTCGGATTGCCACATCTCCTTCCAGGGTAATCCCGTCACAAACATCCTGCCATGGCACTTCCTTGGTTGCGATCTTTATCCTCTGTCCGTGTGTTTCTGCATCAAAACACCCAGAGGGTTCCAGAGAGTTTGCTTCCGCCCCCAAGCGTAACAATCTCACTTCTTTAGCCGAGGTTAGTAAGGACTTGGGTAGATCCGTAATGTCACAGTAATGCTTCTTGTTGCTATATCGGGCGAGGAGAGGGGTGATCCCTTCGTACAGAGTTTGAGGGGGTTCCAAAGAATCGACCATCCTCGAAATCTGCACGAGGGGCTCACCCAAGATCATCGCCTTGGTCCTTTGAATTTTTCGGCTGGTTAATTGCATCGTTCTCGCTATCGTTTTGGGTGGCGGGTAACAAACACGTTGTCGTGCTAATTTCAAAATCTCTGGATCATCCTCATCACTGCTTTCCGCATCTTCTGTTGACGACTCTCCTTCTACGGATTTCTCCCAGGAGATCATGCGGAGAGTCCCTGCCATCATCGGCGAAACCCACGGAACCGCGTTAATAGTAGTGCGAAGGGTCAATCGCATGGGCACAGCGTAGGGCTTTCCTCCTGTATTTCGGAGGATGATCGATCGTCGTTCGAAGTCCAGGTTTGCTCGTAATGCCACAAGAGCGGGAAGTCCGAAAAGACCGTCGTACGTATTGACATCTAGTACTACAACATCCCCAAGCGAGTGCACTTTACCCAATCCGAAAGCGACATTGGTCATTCTTCCCACGGTTTTAATTCTTTCTTCGTCAGCCGAAACGAGCTGATCTTTCTCAGAAAGCGTGATCCAGTCATTTTTCCTACCTGTCCTTTCGACCACTCTCAGTGAGATAGCCAACACAGCTGCTCCCGAATCTATAATGGCATTGTAAGGAATTCCCCAAATTTTTATATCACACTCGGCGGATTTCCACGGAATTGGTTTAATTCGCAGGAAATGATCGTCTTTCTGGATTAATCCCACCCGTATCGGATCCGAAGTACTTGCGGGGTTTTCTTCTGGCGCGGGGCCTTTGGTTTTTGCGTTCGGTGTTTGGGCGAGGGCGAATCCCTTTCGATTCGCTTTGCAATGTTGAAACATTCGCTCGTTGGCTTGCTCGGAGATTGAGAGTAGATGACCTATCGGAAGGGGAATCCGATGGTCCAAGGCTCGGATGATGTTTAATACATCGATTTCTCCTGTGACGAAGGTGGGCCCTCCCGACTCCATTTCTCCTAGGGACGGTCGCCACTCCGCCACCTCTTTTGGTTCTGGCGCTGGTCTGATTGTCCCGATCATTCCAAGCCCAGGATATCCCAGCGATACGTACTGATCTAGCGGGATTATTTCGACGGCCTCTTCGGAGGTAGCCAGGGCACTTCCCCCACCCTCTACTTCTTCCATCAAGACTCCGACTCGTCCAGGTCCGTTGCCGATGGGAGTCGCGGCCATGGGTGCGGCTCCGGTCCGTTGTTGTGGGGGTCGGTGGGGGCAATCACGGGCTAGATGTCCTGGCTGATGACAGGCATAACAGACATTCATATTGTTCACAACTCCCCCGAGCGCAGGGATCGGGGCTAATCCCTGCGGCATCGGAGGGGCGCGTACCGCAATAGGTCGCATGTTCCTCATCATGGCTTCCAGTCGAGCATTGTGCTCTCGCTTCTCCTTTTTGCTTTCTTGGATCAAACTAATCAAGGTTTTGGTTAGTTCGAAAATGGCCGCCGATTCGTTTGAACGTACAGGAGCCTCAACCGGCGGCGGGGGTAATGCCCTGACGGGCGGGGGCATCATAGGAGCAGAGATGCTCGGAGTCTCACTTAGGACTACTCGTTTGGGGCCTATCTGTTCCACATAGGTATCAGGTCCTGATACAAACCCCATGTTTTCAAATTTGTTCTGTAAAGCAGTCAGCTCCGCTCTTGCTCCTGCGAGCTCAGTCGAATCTCCGTCTCTAGGGTAGTCTTCTCCTTCCAGGAAGTTCGTCGCGAACTTCCGTTCCATTTTTTCCGCAGCAGCCATAATTTGTTGTAGCGTATGGGTGATGGGGGAAAACTGCTTTCGCAACTAAGCCCTTATTGTCCGGTTGCGGAGTCCGTCAATGAACAGATCTCTCCCAACTTGCTCACCTCGCTCAGTTTTTACGAACATTCTGTAGAACCGGTTTCGATATTCCACGACGGATTCGAGCGGTTTTTGCACTCGGTCCTTGATCATGTACATCGCTTGCTCAAGGTGGACATAATCGAATGGGTTCATAAAGTCCCGTTCGAAGGTCAAGAGATCCACCCACACATAGGTACTATACCAGTGATGAGTGTCTCCTCCCATTCGAGCCGGAATGTTGATCTGTGCTTCGTGATCGTCGTACTGTTGTGCTCTTAGCGTGGCCAGTCATGCTCCTGCGAGATGGTGCGCTGGATCAAACAGATAGAGATCTGGTGGCGACATGGGAGCTCATGCACGTGGGGCAGGTTGATTAGGTGGATTAACATTTTATTGTGGAACCGGATTTTGCACATTGGCAGCCATATTGGCTGCTCGTCGGTTAGCCGATCTGCTTCTGGTGACAATAGGGTCACGTCCATGCGCGTTCTGAGGGCGAGGTCGCCCTCGGTTAGGCAGGTCGCCTAATTAACGTGCTATCAATCCTAAGACCCTAGCCACGAGTCGGGCTCCGATACCAACCTTACGCCCAGCGCGACTTCCTGATCGCTATGTGTCCGAAATTGGATTCAACGGGCGTTTTGACTTGAACGGTTCAACTCCCATTCAACTCTCGTTGCAACTCCGCGTTAAACCGAGTTGAACGTGGTACAACTCGGCCCGCGGATTTTTTTTTTTCAGGTAAAATACAAGTGAAAAACAAATCAAAAAATATGGGGGTGTAGATTTGTTTGCTCTCTACATCCCCATATTTTTATTTTTATTTTTTGAGCATTAAAATTATTTTTAAAAAATCAAAAACAAAACTAGACTCAAAACAGATAGATTTTTTTTTTTTTTTTTTTTTGATTGATTGATTGATTGATTGATTGATTGATTGATTGGTGGGGGATGGG